CCCCCTGCTAAAAACAATTCGAAAAGAATCCCTGTGACTACAAGGGGCACACACACACACACACTTGCGCTTTGCTTACGCGACTCACGTTTCAGCTTACGCGCCATGCAGGGGAGATGAAGCGCTTGTATGGAGCTTACGCAAACAAATACGGACAAACTTTCTCCACCACACCACGGCATGAGCTTACGCACTTGACGCGTTACATCTTTTTACTTGGCACCAACATCAATCATCACCTGTAAGAATAGGTTCCTCAAACAAACATGTCTCAACACATCTGATTGGTATTGATTGGTTTCCCAGTATCCCAATACTTGAAAATTGAAGCAGGCCCACACGCAAATACATGGAGAAGTCAAGCTTACGCACTTTGCTTACGCAAGCGCTACATCCAAAAAATGCTTACGCAACCTTACGCAATTCAGGTTTTTGCTTACGCACAGTGTCCTTATGCACGAGTCCTTACTATATAAATATGAACACCTAGATTTTGAACAATGCTCAGCTCATGTGGTGTTTCTCTCACCGACTGGGAATCAAAGATGTCTCCACCTCGTTCCACGACCGAGTTGTCTCCACCTCCACCAGATTTTCCTTCAGCTTCGCGAACCTTGAATGCCTGCGGATGACTTGGAGAAAATATTCCAGTCAGCAAGTAGAGCAAAGGCATGCAGATGCAAATGCGTGCTTCTTCAAAGGATGTCTCCTTACGCCGCTTCCAAGAGAATGAAACTGTGAATGGAAAAACGCACGACCCAAAGCATACCTTTTCATGAAGGTCATGAACACCTGAGAAAGGTGAACCGGTCAATACGACCTGCGTTTGGCTCAAGGAACAACGTGAGCGGCTGTTTTTTGTCGGTCGCTCTTGAGGCTTTTTCCATAACCACAGGTTATGAGCCCAAAGAGCTTTTGAAGTCCACCCTCATTTGAGGTCGCTGGTCCCCATGAGCGGCTTGATGGCGCGGCGTCGGCGCTCCTCCCGTGAAGGAGGCAGGCTGAGGGATCCAGGAGATCATGGAGGGCAACTACGTGTGGGAGCAGCTGACGAGAGGCTAGACACCCTCCTCGAGGAGGCAAGGGCAACCTCAATGCCACCTGCT